GCGAATTTCTTATATTTTTCCTTCTACCCTGAAGATGGAGGCGATACGTTCCTCCGAAACGTCGGTTAACACCACATATACACGGTGCCAAATCCCAGAAGACTGCTTTCTTCATAGTCACGGCCGTGAAAGCCTCAAATATTACAATAATAACACAGATTTCTTTACTGTAAACCACATCATAAATTTTGTAGTCAGCCTTTAATATATATGCAGTTATTTCTTAGATGATTTCACAGTGAACTTATACTGTCTGTTTTCCTCTACAAAATAGTATTCTGTTCTATTTGAAAATAATTTCATATTTCAAAATTTTCATTCGTGATCCTGAACAAGTTTCAATTTTCTCCCCTTAGCATTTAAATTAGCTTAATCACTGTCTTCGTCCTATCAGCCTATAAAATTAGCATATATCGTCGAATAGTATGTGTGACTCTTGACGGGGTTTGAATTGATGAATGGATTTATTGACTACTTATACACACGACTCGGAACTACAAACAGTTGCAGCGCCACAGCTAGTCTCCACAATTCACAAATCACCACAGCACCCACTAAGCTTTTTCCAGCCTGTTGTGATTTCACCAGCCGTTCCCTGGAAACGGCTTCTAACAATGGAGATTTTTTAGCTTCAAGCGCTCAGGTTCACTCCTCTCAGTCTCCCGCTTATAACATCTCAGCACAGATCACATAGAAAACACAGTTTTTCTATTGTTTCATCCGTGTATGTTGCGGGCGTTACCTAGTGACGGCCGCTGTTTACCGAGTCACCGTTTAGTACCGGGTCTATACGCCACAATGTGTATGTTTTAGTATTCTAGAGAAACAGAATGGGGTAAGTAACTGAAAAAACTAAAATGAATTAATAACTTTGGATCCTGGTAGTCCTTAGAATAAGTTACAAAATTAAAAGTACCTACAGATATTTCCTTCTCAGAAGTCCGGACATCATTCTATCATCGATGATAAAATATATTCCCGTCTGAAGACCTGTTAAAATACATCAACTGTAGCCCTGCCAACGGTAGAAGGCACCAAAATGGAACCTGGTGCCTGGAAACATAACTGGGGGACATAAATGCAGAGGTTTGGTCCTCCAGGTTGCGGGTTGGACGCAAGGCTGAAGACCTTGCTCTGTAAAAAATTATTGTTACGAAATCCAAAGAAGTGAAAACCCGAAGGTTTGATTCACGACCACGTAGCAAACTGAATACGTAGCAATGAATGGACAAATCTGGAAGAATTTTCTAAGAAAGTCTATGGCTCAAATAGGACTATTATACCGATGATGATGATGATGATGATGATGATTACATGCATATGCAATATGCATGTACGAGTATTGTGACATAAGGCCTGACAGCTATAATAAGGGACCAGAGAAAACAGCCGTTGCTAAACAACAGCTTCGTAAACACGCAAAAATACGTGTACCAAGGCCATCGCTGGGCAACGTACTTAGGCAACAATGGATGAACTATTGGAAGCGGTGTTTTCTACGCGGTCCGTGTCGGGGCATATAAGGGACCCCGGAACCTTTTTTGTTATATAGCTCGGAGGCCAGTCGAGAATTGATAGCTGAAGTTGGAGGTAGGAAGTCGAAAGCCAGCCCAGCCCTGGAGCTAGCAGCTGATAAAAGTACAGGCTGAAGCCAGTGGACAGAGTAGTGAAATGGCCGCCACCTTCTAAGAACGTGAGCCCGGAACCAGAGGAACATCCGCTATTGGAAGCCTCTACCAAGCAACGTGACTGATGAAAATAGTCTGTGTGTGACAATAATGTGTAAAGTGTAGTCACAAGCTGTGTTAGTGTGCAACAAATTAAGTTATCTGTCCAAAACCCGTCTATTGTCATTCTGTGAGGTGACAATATGCATGTACTCGTATATGCTTATAAGTAGCGTTTGCTGGTTCGTAACTTATATACGATGGTGTATCATCTGCATAATTTATTTAGGACCAAATTAAATGATGTTGATCGATTCTTTGAATGTCACTAATACAACTTTCTCCTATTTTATATGTCCATGTTGAGAGAAATTTGCTGCATTAAAAGGTCCACTTATCTCCTCAAAAGAAACTACATGACCGTCTCACAGTTGACGTCCATTCGTGGGATGAAACACATAAACCTGTGTGATCTGGAAGGAGGTCCAAGTTACATTTTAAGCACAAAAGAGCGTAAGAAAAACATTAAAAGTGTTGAATTTTTAGCTTATATATTGTCACGATTAACCTGATGTTTTCACCAACTTCGGCAGTTATAACGAACATCTATTTCTATGCAGAATGCAATCCGACAGGTTTCAAACTTTTCTGGATTAGATACGCTTGAAATTGAAAAATTGGTCTACACAATATTAGGGTTGTTCCACTTAATACTTATCATCTGCAATAAATGCTTTGCTATCCATCGCATCAGGGAATGCTTCAGATAAATTTGGTATGGGTTCAACTGGGACACATGACGCAAGAAACAGATTATTTGTATCTTGTGTTTCTTTACACAGACGATACGACATGGACCTAAAGGCTAAAAATAATACATAATATATTACAAGAAGGTTATAAATGCCCCTAAAAGTGCAGGTCTATAACTTGTCTTTTCGTCGCATGTAAAAGAACCCTTCAATTGGGAAAGTACTATGTATATTATGGGTATTGAGGGTATCCATTAAGTCAAAATGGAGTACATTTGTGTTATATTTCCTTCCACATGAAACACTTCAACCACTTGTTCACCTCATACTGAAAGGCTAAAGATGAATGGTGAATATACCGAATTATTTTAGTGCCGAAATTTATTCCTGCTAAACGTCTACTCATGTTTGTCTATAATCTGAGACTGCTCAGTCCACTTTCCTTGAAACTATATCAGCCCATCCTAATTACTGATGATTGAAACGACCAGACGTAAACGGAAATATGTTATTAAAAAGGGTATGAGAGAAACAAATAAAAATACTTTCATAACTTTTACTCTGAAATAGTATTTCATTGATTAGATCAGGAAGGATGAGAGCCGTGGGGTGTATAGAACATAAGAAAATATAAGAAATGTATGTAAAATGTTAGCAAATAAACCCGAAGGGGACATACTACAGGAAAACTTGGGAGTAAATTGGAGAATAAAATCAAAATGGATTTTCAGAAACATGAAGTATCGTCTGAACTTTTCTTAATCAGTACAGATTCTGACGTCACGAATAAACCTTCGCTTTCAACAAAAACCAGAAAATATCTAGACTACCCGAGCGACAAATAATTTTCAAGCGGGACTGTAATACATGGACTTAGTTTTACTGGAGAAAGTTACTGTAAAGAAGTGAGTTTGATTCAACTAAAGTTTGTAGGCTCGAAACATGTATTTTAAACATGGCGATGCAAGAAATTTGCTGACCAGATGAGTTACAACACAACTTATCAAGGAAGTCCCCACACTATGGAGTTACTTGGTTATATAGAGCGGATAAATAATATGCTTTATTTAATTTTTTATATTTTACTCTGGAATAGAACTCACAATTCCCAGTGAGTACGCCTCCAGATATTATATGACGAATTGAGTCCGAAGTGGAGTGTTGCCCCAATCGTATCGACGCCCTGCGAAACACCAGCTGCAGTGGTCAGCTTCTTGTTGCCACGAGCTTCCATGATGTCTATCTCACCTGAAGACGGCCAAGGGCCATATTCATTGTGCCGGGGCTTCATCCATATTGCTGTCCAAACACGAAACACCGTTTCATGCACGTAAGAAAACAAGAATGGAAAAACACATTAAAATATATTCTAAATCTGTTATATTCAATTTTGTATACCTCACTTTCCATTATTTCGGGCACATACCTGTTGAAAAGAGTGACATACGGCATGACTCCTCATTTCTTTAAATATAAATTAGTTCTGCAGTGAAAAGTATTTCAAACTTCGAACTTAATGCTGTGGACGTAAACAGTCATTAAGTTCGTGGACTGTGGTTTTATCGCATCATATTACAAGGTATTCACATACACTTACACAGACCCACATCGGCCCTCAAAATAGTTGCCATTGTCCGCTATGCAAGCCTGCCAACGTTGATATAGCTGTCGAAAACATTGCTGAAACATATTGGCAGGAAATTTCCGTGCGGCGTCTCTTGTGGCAATGACCACCTCCTCGGACGACTGAAATCTACCACTGCGTAGCTTTGCTTTCAAGCGGTGAAAGAGAAAGAAATCGCATGGTGCGAGATCAGGTGAGTATGGAGGGTGTGACAAAACGGTGACCTGTTGCCTTGCCAGTTCCTCTTGGACAAGAACAGAGCGATGTGCAGGGGCGTTGTCGTGTAGCAACAGCCAATTCTTCATACGCCAAATGCTTCGCTAGGGGATTTGCCTAGTTTTTGGCAGAACTTGATGTTTGTCTGTTGTTCAAACTGCCACATTTTCGATTTCCGCCACTTGCATTTAACTGCAGTTCACAATAGAGGCAGTAGTTCTCCTTACACTGTTTGCACATAACTGCCTCTTGCTGTGACGAGAGATGAACTGACAGGTCATCATATCATGCCTCAACCTGTTCACTGTAGTGCACTGTAATGACGATTTGCGCTAGTCCACGAACTTATTGACTATGGTAGTATATTTTACCGTTAAATTGTGTAATTCCGGTATTTTACAGTGTCCAGGTATTTATTTAGGATTCTTAGACAAATTGTTTCTTTAAACTATAAAATGAGAACAAAATTTTCACACTAATTTGCTGTTTCATAAAATGCTTACCACGTAAGCCTAGTTATTCCACCAAATAATAATTTGAGAATAGTTAAAACGTAAAATAACGAGGTTTTCTCTGTTTTTTTTTCATATATTGACTTTATCGCGGTAGATTAGGTTAGTTTAATTAGATTGATTTGGTTTGGCACCGTTTTTCGGTCAAGTTACTTTACGATATATCAGGTTGGGTCATGTAGGAAATATAAATACGTACTACATAGATATTAGTTATTATTTGGAACATCTATTTAAAATGTATACGATGATTCGTTAGGAGCCGCGTTAGCTCAGTCGGTAAAACGACTAGCCACGAGCTTGACGACAGAGGGATTGGTGTTTGAGTCCTGGTAGGGTCAAGATTTCTCTCTTCTTCACTTCGTCCAGACCCGCTTTGAGGTCCATCCAACCTCCTGCCTAATGGATAAGGGTGGGTTCTTACCCCGGGGGTAAAACGGCCGGGGCGTGAAGCTGACCACACCTCCAGATAGTGCCGAGGTCAAGAAAATATAGATGTATAGATCCACAACCAATTCTCCTGGGGAATAAAGCGCGGCCGGCTCGTAAGGCTGACATTACCGCCATCTTTCAGCCGATTTTCTAGATAATATGGGACCCTCAACGTCTCACAACCCTATGGGCCTTCATGGCCTGTTACAGGGATAGTTTTACTTTTTTAGATCCACAACCCCATACGCCTTCATTATGTATAGTGCTGAATTAGTTAACCACAGGGACAACTTCATTTCTTTTTACTTTACAATGATTCATCATTACTTACTTTAACTGTAACACTCAGCTAATGCATGAAATAATTGGAGAGTTTATAGAATATCGGACTGTTCACTTTAACGACATATACATGTATTACTTAAACTGCAAAACTACCCAATTTCGTGATGTAACTTCCTTCATGCTATGAAAATATAAAATCTTCATTAGAGAGCCATCTATGGAGAAGTGTTAAAAAACTAATCTTGAAACACGGGAGTGTGTCCAAGACCATATAAATCCAACCCACATACTCATATTATTTCTTTAAATTTATATTAATATTTTCTTGCACCATACGCCTGGTTATCCCAAGTGGTTTCACAACTTCACATTTTCCAACTAAATGGTCTATACACTTCTCACAGTTACCAGGCAACCACGTGTTGTTGTGAAAAATAACATAAAATATAACTGGCCCTAATGGAACAGCAAAATCGGAAAATATATTTGTTATCTTTTGAAATAAGAATTTTCCTTTGGGATAAAATGTCCCGGAGCGTGAGTCTGAGCACTCCTCTAATATAGCGCCGAGGACAGGAGTGGGCGGAGCAATAGCATGGCCATTCATGGCATGATGCTTCAACAATTAAGTACAGGAACAATTTTTGTTTATTTGTTTCGTTCTGGTCCGTCACACTAACAGATACAAAGGCAAAAATAATACCGTCTGATGTGACTATTTAAGTTTTATTACTTGAGGATTTATCTCCCTTACATGTTTCGATCCTTAACGGATCATCTTCAGAGGGTATCAATACTATCGGAAATTACTATTACAATATATGTTAACTGTATGGATACACATATGATGTCTAAAATGCACAATATACCCAATGTTCAACCTTCCACATTCACGGCGGCCTTCTTGGTGCTAAAACTTTTAAAAAAGTTGTTTTAAATCTTTCAAGATCAAGCTTAAAATTTATGAACCATACAGGTTCGCGTCAAATCTCCTATTGTAATTCGTGGAGGTGGCTGGTCCTGTGCCACCTGTTTATCTTGCGAAAGGAGATTCTTAGTACTTCCGTGTTTATGCGTGGCCTGCTGTGTTCTTTACACTGTTGACGCGAACCTGTATGGTTCATAAATTTTAAGCTTGATCTTAAAACATTTTTTTAAAAAGTTTTAACACCATGAAGGCCGCCGTGAATGTGGAAGGTTGAGGATTGCGTATATTGTAGTTTGGTAAATAGATACCAACTTTTCAGAGGAACTTACTACCTCTAGCTTCTGTTTGGAAGATTCCACCCTGAAGATGGGGACAGCGGGTTCCACCGAAACGTCAATATGTGTATAAATAAGGTAAAGCTGTCCCTGTAACAGGCCGTGAAGGCCCATAGTGTTGTGAGACGTCGAGGCTGACATATTTTCTAAGACAGCTCACAGATGGCGGTGAGGTTGTCAGCCTTACACACTGACCACTCTTTACTCCCCAGGAAGATTCCTGGCACTCATTTCTATTAGAGGCTGAGTCGACCCCAGAGCCACAGTGCGGCTGAAAGAATTAGGTCAAATGAGAAATCCAATGACGTCATCAGGATATATCAACCTACTCTATGCTACAAGCCGGAAGGTCGCGGGTCCAAGTCCCGATGAAGTCACTGGATTTTTTCAATTGACCTAGTCCTTCCAGCCGGAGTAGGCCCTGGGGTTCACTCAGTCTCTAACAGAAATGAGTACCAGGGAATAAATAAATAATTTTCCTGGGGAGTAAAGCGCGGCCGGCGCCTAAGGCTGACAACTTTACCGCCATCTTTGAGCCGATTTTCTAGATAACGTGGGAGCCTCAACGTCTCACAACCCTATGGGCCTCCACGGCATGTTACAGGGATAGCTTTACTTTTACTGGGAGTCACATCCCAGAAGGGCGTAATGTTGATACTGAATGGCGTGAAATCGCGAAACTACGAATTACACGAACTGTAATTGAAGTAATTTAATTCCGGAGTCTGGATTTGTGTTTTGATGATTATGGCCAGATAAACTGTACTACGTCCCATCAAAATAAACCTTTACTAAAAAAGAAAGTAAAACAGAACAACATAAAATAACGACGTCACATACCAGTAGACCCCAATCTTGAACTTGCCTCATAATAAAGAAAACAAAATTATAAAAAATCCTGAAAGACATAAACCATTAGGAAGACCTAAATGTAGACGGGAGGGTATTAAAATGGATCTCAGAGAAATAGGATGGGAGTAAGGACTGAACTCATCTGGCAAAGGATGGAATTCAGTGGCAGGTTACTGTGAACTCGGCAATGTACTTTCCGTTTCCGTGAAATAATGGAAATTTCTTCAGTGGCTGAGAAACTGTTGGCTTCTCAAGAAGGATTCGGTTCCATTGAGTTAGTCAGTTAGTAAATGCCATTCCTTAAGACTAAAGTTCGTGCTGGTAGAACTAACGCAAAGCAGGCCTAGTGCATTCGTTCTCCACACTGCTCCTTACTGCTAGCGCATACAAAAAAGAGTTTTATGGACTGATTCATGACCAGACAACCTTCACCTCTGATGTGGAGGGAATTCCACTCCCTAGCTTCAGTTGGTCGAGTCATGGCCGTATAATCACACCGACTGAAGTGGAGGAAAATCACCGCCAACATTGAACAGAGTCGAGGTACTAATTTATTTACCTACAATTTAAGTTATTATCTAGAGCAGTACATAAGAGCCACAGCTGTTTACTAAAACTCATAAATCCTTCAATCAATTATCCTAAATTATGGACCATATCAGTCTAATAGTAACTACTAACTTGTATCGTAGAGGTTACAAGCCACCAGCCGCGATATCTCGTGGTTTTCCTGTCTCCTGCGGAATGCTGAGACCTTATCTTGAAATGGCGTGCGACCACATCCTACTCGTAATCATTTCACACCGCATTCGTATATCTCATGTGGTTGAAGCAACATCGTTAAGTATTTTAAACATTAATCACACTCTACTATCAAGTTCTATTTGAGCTAGAATAAAAAGTCTACGTACTTCGCCCTATGTATTGTGGCATGAAGTGTATACCGAGCCGTTGCCTAGCAACGGCTGTCTATTCTGGCTCAGATTTTCCGGATTCATGTCACAATATCTATATAGAAATATGTAGCGAAAGGGGACCTTGTACAAGGTCGTAGAATACTTAGAAATAATACTTGGTATGAACCTCACTCCTCTGAGAAGCCGTGAGCCTGTGTTGCTTTACCTGGCCAGATCCAATCGCCTCTGGGCAGCTTAGCTCTAACTTCCACCCGGCCGTACAGAAATGAGAAGCTGTTGATTGTCCGTATCCTAGCGGACTGAATGGGCAAAGCGATGTCCTCACCAGCGTACCTAACAGAAAGGAAACACACGTAATATCCAGGGGTGCAAATGGTTTTCCAAAAATAGAGAGGTGCTCCAAAATACAGAGTGATTCAAAATTATTGTAGGGGTTTCCGCTTGGCCACGGAAACTCCATCAGTAACTTAGAAGCACTCTGTATTAAAATATCCAAGGAATGAGTAATAATTTATAAAAGAAATTTCTTGAAGTGCAGTTTTGAAAATTATTTCTTACAGATATCGTTGTTGGGAATGATTATTACTGTGCCTTAAGACACTGTAATTTATTTCTTTATAAAAAAATAAGCTATCTGAATCTAACTAGATAACGCTTACCTGCATGTGCCCTCATTTCATACTCTGATAAAAGCAATTTAATTTCAATCGTCCTGTTTTTAGCAAACTAAAGAATGAAAGGTCTATAGATTCGGAGTTACAGCTTATGTGGGAAGCGAATGTAAGAGGAAAAATACAACAACTTTATTCACATAAACAACGATCAGATTTTCTATCGGTTAGATTCTAAATGACCTAATTCGAAGTATCACCCAAGAATTTTTCTGAAAAATATTTGGAAAAATCAAGAGAAATCTCAGTTAGGAAATCCGGTCTGAAGGTGGCGATTTGAACTTGGGACGTGGTTCGAATAAGAGTCAAGAGTTTCGTAGCTTAACCCCAACATTCGATAAATTACTTAGGCGAAACTGGGTGACAAGTTTATATGTGTAGGCGATGGAATAAAAGTACGTAAATAAGGTAAAAAAAAGGTAAGATAAATTTGTCCTTGTGCTTAACTAATTAATCATTACACCATGAAGAGGTATGGGGGAGTGGATGTATAGCCCCACGTTTTCTTGACCTCGGCACTAGATGGAGGTGTGTGGTCAGCTTCACGCCCCGGCCCTTTTACCTCAGGGGAAACAGACCCCTTTACCCTTTCGATAGAAGGTTAGGTGAGCCACAGAACCAGTCTGGACGTCTAGCCCTTAGCCAGCCGCTATATCGACTGCGCTATCCCGGCTCAAAAGTGCGCAAGGGCCGTCCTAAACTTAGACCTGTATTTATGTGTGTGTATATATATATATATTTGTGTGTGTGTGTGTATGTAATATTTACGAAAATACCGGACAGAATAGCCGCGGTCTAAGGCATAAATTGTCTTCGCTCGCTCGGATGCTGGGATCGTGGGTTCGAATCCCACACAAGGCATGAATGCTTGGTGTGTGTATGCGTTTATTCTGTGTCTGTGTTGTCCTGTGTTTCGGTAGAGGCCTTGTGACGGGCTGATCACTCGTCTAAGGAGTTCTACCGTCTGTGAAAAATGAGTACGGAAGTGAATAAGTGGCCTGGGCCCTGAATCGGCTGGAAGTGCCATTGAAAAAGCATATGAAAATAGACATGATATTTTTTAGGTTTTTGTATAAGAAAGTACCGATGGGCCTAAGTTAGAAGGGAGTTAATTTGTCAGTATAATTAACATAAACACTTTTAGTTAGCACTAACTTCGGCGACAAGCGGCCGTCGTTCTGTCGGCATAGTTCGCTTGCGGACTAAAGCCACGGAGTTTGTTTTGTTTTTTACATCAGTTTCGAATAAGTGTCAATCCACACACGAACTGTTTCAGTTGACAATATACAGGCAGCTGGTTTACGCTAATAAAATTCTGTTTTGTACATAATTCTGCGATGGGTGACGACATCATTATCCTAGATTGAGTAGGCCTACATTCAGGACACCAGATATAGAAGGACACCACAAAGACTGACTACAACGTGGATATCGGATAACACGTCAAGGCCTTGAGAGGCGATGTCAAGTATCGAATAATCGTGGATGCGAGTCCTTCGGTTTACCATGGATGTTTATTGCACCGTCTCTTTGTGAAGGACTAACACACGTCATCACTTTCTCTCTAGTTACTAGAGAGAGAGAGAGAGCGAACTGCCAACAATATAATTAGTTCCGTCACATGAAACACACCAAACCCCCAGATGTCGCTATGCAGTTACAGAACTTCATATTCTGGATGTCGAAGCCTTGGATCTCTGAAACTATTCTGGCTGAGGTCTTTCACAGTTTCTTTAAGTATCACCTGTAACCGCTCATTAAGTCGGAGCCCATAATTGTTAGAAAATGTATTTAAACTATATACAGCCTAGGTAAAGAGAGATAGCCCCATCCTTACATTTAGAACGATATTTAAGGCCATTCTTTGGCAGGGGCTAGTATCTTTTTCTTTTTCCTATCATGTCCTGTTTCATGATTGATGTGATTGTTCTCACAGTAAAGTATGTTAAACTTATGTTAGGAATAATATGTTCGGTGTGTGCTTCCATTTAAAGTGTCGCCAATTTATAGGGCAAGAAATTTAACTGCTCCTATCTCAATTGTGTTATCACAGTTTATTGAGATTAATACATGTTTTGTTCGTCTTGACTTAAAAACAAATGTAGGTTTATTGGTTTTAAATCATATGTTCATGCTAGCAAGGGCATTATTGGGCCGCGCCATAGCTCAAGCAGTTAGTCGCTGGTTTCCCACCGCGGCGGCCCGCGTTTGATCCCGGGTCTGGTCAAGTGGTATTTGTGGTGGACAAAGTGGCGCTGGGACAGGTTTACTTCGAGTACTTCGGTTTCCCTTGCCAATCTTCATTCCACCAATTGCTCTACGATCACCCTCACCTATCATCTGGGACTGGTACAATAAGCCAGAAGTGGCCGCAGTACAAGGGACTTAGTCCCACCCCACTAGAAATAAAAGAAGGGCATTCTTGCTATACAAACAGGATGTAGCCATCTGCGCTTTCCCTGGAAATTTAATTAAATTCAATTGGAAAGCAGAACTTTGGAAATCTGATACCTGTCATGTTAGGTTGAATGATGCATTTTAGGAAGGAGGGCCACCCACAGACGCTACGACCATTATAATTCACCGAAATGTCCACAGGGCAGTTGGTGTCTTAAGAGTCAGAATCGTGTAACAAATTTCGTTGATTGGAAGATGCAAATTTTGTAGACCTCCTAAGTTTTACACTAGACCAGTAAGGCAGGTTTAGGGGAGGTTCAATTGAGGGAAGCTGAGGGCTCTGTATAGCTGACTGCATCAGATCGGAGAAGTTCCCTGAAGAACACATGATTCCGACTTCCAAAACACTGGGATGCAACTAAATTAAACTGTTATACGAACGATTATACTAAATCATTACGAGATCATGGTGCAAATTTCGACTATATATTCTCACCTTCAACTGCTACAAAGTGTTTGACATTATTAAAGTGGAATTGCACAGTGTAAGCAGCGGCCAGGGCTGTTTAATGCATCACAGTTCAGTGCCAAACATTGTCCTTACTGTGAGCAAGTGTGTGTGTGCTGAAATGTTCCTCCTGCCCTATTAGAGCAAGGCCCGTTAAGACCCAGGGACAGATCTCCTGTTCTTCCAGACCCAACCCTGAGCTAGCCATCTCGCTGCCTGTGCCTACCAGAAGGCATCCTGCAGAACTGTAGTCTACTGGCGCCCAAACAAGTCCATCGGCCTTCCTTACCAATCAGCTCAACATCTCCGAAGGGGAAGGAGGTAAGGATAGAGCCAGGACAGGTGAAGCATTGCGGCACGTGTGGCTGTAGCAGACAAGGGGCAACAGAACGGTGTAAGTAGCTTCCGACGCGGGGCCCTTCATTCTCCAAGAGAAGACAAGGAGAATAGAGCTCTTAGACACAGAATTTAGAAATAGACGACAGATTAATTTACAGTATTTGAAATTCATCATTTGCAACAGTTCGATGTTACATGACGTAGCCAGTTGAAAATGGCCCTTAAATGTACAACTAGATGTAACCTAAATGTTTAATTAATTGTTCTATAAGTTAACCCGAAATTAACGGCCGTGGGGATCCGTTGCGCTGACCACGCGACAACCTCTGTCCGCAAAAGCTGGCACTAACTTCGCCGACAAGCGATGGTCGCTTGGTCGGCATAGTTAGCTTGCGGACTAAAAGCCACGGATTTAGTTAGTTATAAGTTAAACATTCCCACCGACATAGCAGGGCACCTTCTATGTGCATGACTCACACAGGCTTCCAGCTTATTTTAGTTCTCTTTCAAGCAGTTTTTATCATATTTTCTCTTCTGTCCTCTCGTTAGTAATATTATTATGCCTGTTATTACTCGCGTATTCCAGTTATACCAATTTTATACATATTGGTTTTTGCCGTAGACACAAGACACCTAACAAATAATTCACTCACACTTTTATCGTACTAATTGCGCGTTTATTTGGGTTAAAATATAATTTCGCTTTCCATGAAGCCATTTTTTTCAGACGATACATTTTACAAAGTTAAACTATTGCGTTTGTAATTGTATATTGATCCACATATTACAAATTTGTCTATTATTATGATTGATTCATAGTGCTTTTATGCACAATATCGCTGTTATTTTGCTGCGTAAGGATGCGTTGAATAATTTAAAATATCTTAATATTAATAATAAGATTAACTCAAAAATAAAATAAATAAGAAAATTAAAATTTAATGTAACTATAGATTAGTATGTCTCTATACATCGTTCTGTTACACAAATTTTCTATGTGAATGCGTTACGTTGTGCATAGCGTCGCGTCATTTGTTGTGTGTGACATCTTTAGATCTATTGGTCCTGGTTTACCTCAATAATAATTAATACTATTATTATTATATATGTGTAGTTCTCTCCTGTTACAGAATCAAATTCAGATCTCTTCCGTTCTTCTGTAGAGATGTAGAGATTTTCTAATTCTTCATTCAAACATATGGTTGCACTACTTGAATGGAAACTCATACCACTGCAAGGCCTTCTCTTTTTTTTTTCCTGTGGCGCTACAGCCCTCATTTGGGCCTAGGCCTACCTTCATGAAACTCTCCATTTCACTTCGGTTTACTAGATATTACACATACGGTAGGACTCCTTGGGCGAGTGATCAGCTCGTCGCAAGGCCTCTACCTGTAGAAAAACACAGAAAAATGCACACAAACATCCATGCCCTGAGTGGGATTCGAACCCACGATCCCGGCTTCCGAGCGAGCGAAGGCAGTGCATGCCTTAGACCGCTCGGCTACCGTGACCGGCAAGGCCTTCTCTTACCCAGGCGAAACATTGCTGGCGCGATTACTATGACAGTGCCTCTAGATTTTCCGTTTTCTTCTTGATGCCCTTTCACGAGAGTAAAGCGCTGGTAAAACTGCATAATGAGGAGCTTCATGACTTGTACTCTTCTCCATGTATAGTTAGAATGGTCAAGTCAAGGAGGATGAGGTGGCCAGAGCATGTAGCACGAATGGAGATATTGGTAGGAAAGTCGGAAGAAAGCAAACCACTGGGGAGACCAAGACGTAGTTGTGTGGGCAATATTAAAATGGACCATAGAGAAATAGAATGGGATGGATTGCATTGATCTGGCTCAGGATAGGGACCAGTGGATAGCTCTTGTGAACACGGTAATGGACCTTCTGGTTCCATAAAATGTTGGGAAGTAGCTGCACAATTGGCAGCTTCTCAAGAAGGGCTCAGTTCCATAAGTGATAAATTTGATGATAAGTTAAGGAGTTGGTAAGAAATTAAAATTTAGTCAGCAACTGGATGTCCTGTTGGTTCTTATGAAGCATTACTTCTATCAAGGTTCGATAAATTTGCGCAAGGACCTCAAAATAAAACTTTCATCAATGTCACTACATTGGTTCTCCAGTTGTGAGACGATACAACGCACAAATCTTTTTTCACGAAAACAGCAAAACTTGATGAAAAGCATATCTCAGATAACGCCTGAGTTTCATTGTTCTAAACAAGATGAATTGCAGTGAACACGAAAGGCAATTAGTGACTATGCCGACTAGTATAATCGGCTGTGGTGGAGCATTGCTTAGGGGCAAAGCATCGAATGAACGCCAAGGACACCACAGTACAGCCAGGAACAAGCTACATGGACCGCAGGCCACAGATATCGGACCGCACACCAATAGCTTTATGAGATAAATGGGATTTCCTCTATGCCGTTCTGAAACCTATCACCAACGATCGCTACTCACAAAGTGAACCCCTGATGATAGAGACAGAAGCAATCTATGAAACATCAAATCCAATTTGACCTTCCTGGTCGCACGAAAATGTTACATTATATAGAACTTTTTCTTAAACATTACGTTTATTTATGTGAAATTAACCAGGAAATACGCTTAAAGTTCACATTGTAGTCCTCTCGGTTGTGACATCACGTTGTCTTCTAGGTGGGTACAAAAGGTTTCGAAAGAACATATTGCTTCCTTCTTCAGGTCATAGATTGTGAAGACCGTGTCACACCCTAGAAAACCACAATTTAAACCCCCGAGATCTTGCATAGGTTTAAAAGTCATCCTTTGTCCTAAATACTTGTGTTGTAATTCTGTATCATCTCAAGGCATTTGGTGAAAAAGAATAACACTGTAAATTATTTCAAATATATTCTTGTCAACTTACGACACGCAGGGATCCATGTTGCAACCTGGTTCAGCGATAGCGCCCCTGTATAACACATCTTCTTCATATTCATCCGTAGTAAGGGTCGGCTTCAGGTATAAGACTCCATCTTTCACGAAACTGAAACACACAAGATAATATACATTTATTTTATGAGTATCATAAGCACAGCATCGGAGGTGTGTTATTGTAGTCGATTGAGCTTTCAGCGGTTTAATGACAAAATTCCAACTGCAGTAATTATACGGGAAGATATTCCTGAATTATGAATACTTACAGTTTTTAAAGAAGATCGCGACTTATTTGAAAATAATAAAATTTTATAGGGCTATCAGCCATGTCTGTTTGCCAAAATTTACCAACGTTTCAGGAGCCATCCTGTCTCCCTGACCACAATCTGACCCCCATGAGGGGAACAAAGATGGTCCCTGAAGCTCTGGGAATTTTTAACTAACTGTCATCGCTGTTAGACCGAGAATGTTTTATTGAATTTAACGGCCGATGAGGTTTCAGACAAAAAGCACTTTCCAGATATTTTTCTGGCAAAACTGAAGAAAATCTCGAAGAATTTTGGTTAGGTTATCAGGTAAAGCAGACGAGATCCGAGCTCGATGTTACCCGTTATCACCACAACAATCCGCCTAATTGGATGTAATGATTATAGTCCTATTTCACATTTTGGAGATACCAAGTCTGCAGATCGTGTCAGCACTCGACTGTCTGACTGATGGCTTTTATGCTTTGTTTGAATACTTAAGGAAAATTCAGATATAGCAATTCAAGTTTGGCCCTTCCTTACAAACTCTGTACCTAACCAGCGTTAACAGGCTAGTCTCAGAAAGCTACTCAAGTCTGTCATTATTACGAATATATGAGGGAGAGTCAATAAATAGGTCAAAAATGGAAGTAAGACAGGTGTAATGCATGTGATAGGTTTTCTATATGTATCAATAGGTTTCAGAACAGTCCAGCTTCATGACAGTCTAGGTAGCAGACACGCATGCGCATCTTCAGAGGCTGGTTTCAGTAGTCAAAAGACGACCGTGCTTGAGGAGTATTCTATCGAAGAGCAGCATTTAGTTTGCCGGCAAAAGGGCTCAATGCAAATGATATTCATAAAGAAATATTTCCTGTTTACGGTGGGAAGTATTTATCGCGTAAAGCGGTTCACAATTGGGTCAAGAATCGCGGTAAACCTCTCGCTGATGACGAGAGGAAGGAAGTGGCTGAGACAACAGTGAAAATGTTTCTATACTGCGGGTTAACACGCGCTGGTAAAGCGATGAGATAAGTGTACCAGGTTTGTGGAGGATATGTCGAGAAGTAAATTTTCCTTCCAGGCTCGAATAATACATGTTTTACGTTTTATATCCATTTATGACAAATTTACTGACTCTCCTTCGTATAAGAGAAGAACAAACTAGATTTATACGATTTATTGTCACCGTGATTGAATTCACAGTGTAACCTACATTTTCGTACTTTAACATTCCCTGCACGCTGCAATCAGGTTCTACAGAATTGTGGTTCTATAAATTAAAGAACCAACATCTACTTCCTTCGCCGTTCTTTACAGTAAAGAATGCTTGTTATGTGTTTCCAATTATCTGTAATTAAGATTGTACTCGTAAATCAAGAGAGTATAATGCAATGCTGCAATATGGAATGATTAACCTAAACAAGTTTCATGCTATTGTGTTGCATGATACAAACCTCCATTTTGAATAAATATATATGAGGGAAAATGGTTCTTGTTCTTGTTGATGTCGTCGTCGTTGTTGTTTTGTTATCCCTGTGATTAACCAATTAAGCACTACACCATGAAGACGTAGGGGGAGTGGATATATAGATCCACATTTTCTTGATCTCGGCACTAGATGGAGGTGAGTTGTCAGTTTCACGCCCCGGTCGCTTTATTCCTGGTGAAAGCGACGGTGTCTATTGTATAGGAGGTTGGGTAAACCCCAGAGACTCTCTGGACGATGAGGAGGAAAGTTTTTGAACCTACCGGGACTCGAACTCCCGTAGACAGTCGCTAAACCGACTACTCATCCCGCCTCCCTGAGGGCAAAGGGTGCGCTTCCAGATCGTCGAAGGACCAGGCCTTGAAACTGGGACCCACATATTGCCAGTACTTCCTTATAAACAAAGTTTAAGCGAATCTGTATATCATTTGTCGAGCACGAGAAGCGACCCAAAAAGTAAGGTATACTGCATTTAATACATTGTCAAATAAAGATAAAGCCTCTTAAAGGAATGGTAATAATAACTGCAATTTGTATATTATTTTTGCATGGAATGAATAAAGTTTGTATAAAATGTCAAAATATTTACATTTCGTTATAACACCCGATAACACTTGAGCTCAGTCATAAATAAAAAACACAGTCGTCATTGAAGAGGGTTGAGTGAGATCATAAAGTATGTGCAAATAATACTTGACTGAGGACAGTTCATGAAACCTGGTTTACGTCATAGGTTGCCCTGCACAGATATCTTTCTTAACGCCGCCACATGTTGGCGCTGCATTGTCTGAGAATTCAGTCATTACATCTGGTGTGGGTTCAGTGATACGTGTGTAGGTTCATTTGCATGTGTTCAGTGGTGCTGTCAGAAGTTCTTACTGTATGGAATTGAAACACAGGATGAAATGTGCAATAGTGAACTGCAAGGGAACTGAAAGGAAGATGTCGTGTCTTAATCCCAGCAGTTGCTTGCAGGGACTGAGTAAACCAAGGACACGTTCAATTTACCCAGTCTTTGGGCCGAGATTTCAACTCGTGACCTGCCGAAAACAAAACAGGAAGCAAAGTCACGGATGTGATTTTTCTAATGACCGGTTAATTGAGCCTTCCATGGCTCTCCTTAGGCCCTCCAGAAAATACCGAAGTCCTTAATTCACTGCACATTTTCTTCATATAAGTTACTTCCTAACGCATCATTCATAATCATCCTCCAATTCTACGTTACAACATAAGGTAAAGTTGTCTTGAGCTTAAGTATTTAAGAACTACGCCATGAAGACTTAGGTGTAAGTCAAGATACAGCTCCAACATTCTTGGTCTCGGCACTATATAGAGATGAGCGGTCAGCTTCACGCTCCAGCCACTTTACCCCCTGAGAAAGAACCTTCATGACTCATTGGATAGGTGGCTGCGTTGGTCCCAGTGACGGTCTGGACGCTGTGGAGTACAGACAAATTTATTTCCTTTGCCGGGAATCGAACCCTGGCTATCCAGCCCATAGCCCGTCGCTACACCGATTGAGCTACCCCAGTTCCTAATTCTAAGTCATATAACCGAACTGATAGACGCACGGAGCAAATTTCTCGGACTGATGTAAAGATATAATATTTCTGGCAACGTTGTACTGAATGGATGGATGGCCTTGTAGTTAAACGAAACATTGAGGCACAGAACAAAGAAATGTTTGGTCAGATATTACTAGAACGCCCGCGGGGATGGAGTTCATTAACATCGTGACATCTAGAAGAGATCACTTTAGCGAAAGAGTAAATATGTCTGGAAGCCCAGTCACAAATTTGGACACCAGAAAAGTATATTAGAGTTCATAGGTGATTGCAGCGTCGAGGTTAGTGGGGGGAATCGAAGATAAAGTATTCTCAGTTCAAATTTAAACTCAGTTTTACACAGTCTAAGGCTGAGGTGGGCAAAATATGAAGAGCATCAACATTTAAATCCATCTACAGCGATGTTTAGTTAATAACAATAATTCAATTCAATATTTTTATTTATTTACGTACTTACTCAAGAGCCCAAAGGTCAATGTTAGAGTAAGTACGAGCAAAGATATAATAACACAAGCACATGCACACAAGGAGAAGACAATACAAGCAAACGTATATTATTTAGAGTAAAAGTACATCAGTGCAGTCACGCCAAATATCACGTGATGACAATAAATGCGCACGAGCACGCGCGTGCGTGCATACATTAGTCATGAGTGAACTGCACATTCACTTTATTCTTTCTTGCTCCAAATATTTTCACCAATGTTTTCTATTCAAACACTATGTCCTCCACACAGAATATGAAGTCATGACTTACTTTGCCTTTTCAAGCAAGAGAATTGCAGATCCGTTCTATTGCTCTGTTACATTATAAGTGTCAATGCTCCATTTTTTTTTTGCGAAATCTGACGTATTAAAATATGATGTTAAAAGATGCATCCGGTCTAGAAAGCGGAGATTAACGGTCGTGGGGATCCGTTGCACTGACCACACGACACCCTCTATTCGCTAAAATTTACACTAACTTTGCCGACAAGCGGCGGTTACTCGGTCGGTATAGTTCGCTTGCGGACTACAGGCCATGGAGTTTGCTTGTTAAAAGACGTAGTAATTGTAATATTCAAGTTAAGATTAGCACATCCTAATTTTAATTAAGAGACTTTATTTTTTTACAGAAAACCAATTTTATAGAAATTTTCCAATTATTAGTTCACAGATTAGTAATACATCAAACTGAGCATTGAAAAATATACAGGATGTCCCAGGTGTTTGGTGCCATACTTCAGGAGCGTACTGAGGGTTCCCTATAGAACGACTTTGAAATAGGAACCCATGTCCACAAACGTAAAATAGCAGCGCTAGGGCGGCATTTAATATCATTTTGTTTAAACTTGGAGCCTCAATGTCGAAGAGCATGCACAGGCATATTACCCCCTCCATACTCTTAAGACTCACTTTCTAGAGTAGATGTTGGAATTGACGCCCTCCATTTTCAATACATGCGTTACATCGACGCAAGAAACTTTGGCGCACCCTTTCAAATATTCCAGGTGTCACACGGATCACGTCACATGCAACAAGTATTCTGGCCAACAGCTCGAATTCATTATCCACAGGCGTGTCGTAGATCAGGCTTTTCACATGGCCACACACGAAATAGTCCAGAGGTGTCAAGTCTGGGGATCGGAGTGGCCAAGGCACTGGGCCTCATCTTCCTATCCAACGACCACAAAAAGCAGCATCCACGTAGTCTCGTGATACAATGCTGAAGTGTGCCGGCGCTCCATCATGCTATATTCACATTTGCCTCCGCACAATCAGTCGGCAGGATACGTAAAAAGGCCCATTGAGTCGCGGAGGTAGGAGAAAAGGCCCAATCAAGTGATCGCCAATGATGGCCGCCCAGACATACCAACTACAGTATAGTTGGGGTTTTTCGTCAGCCCAAACATGGCTGTTTCGACAGCTGAATCAGCCATCTCTTGTAAACTGCGCTTCGTCCGTGAATAACAGACTCGTGGTACAGAGTCCTCTGGACCTACGTCGTGGACTCGCGTTGGATGATACGGATAAAGCTGTTGGTCGTGCAGGATTCTCCAAACACTTGATTTTGATGTCCCCACAGTCTTGGCAATGGCACGAGTGCTGGTGGATGGCTGTTCCTCTATGCCAAGGGTCTCCGAACTGCAGCCCGCGAAAGAATTGTGCAGAAATGCGCCAATTGAACTAATTTTACAATGAGTACTGGCAAAAAAAATACTTGTTCATATATTTCAAATTCATTAATTACGATTGTGTTTAAAATATATTGATATTCCATATTATGTTAATATTAATATTATTCACAATTTTACTAATTCTGGACCGTATACTGCGCGGTATTTCTTCGTACTTGTTCGGCCTCGATCGGCAGTGTTATTTTTCGTGGCAATGTAGGTAGCGCGAGCAGTTCGTTGCTACTCGTCTTATGCACAAGACTTCTTGCAGTGGTACAGTGTAATTGTAACAGATCATCATCACCGCCGGTGTCGTACTTATTACCATTTTTGTATTAAAGGCAACTTATGCCCAGTTTTGCTCTAACTTTTCCTAGAATTGGTCTGCAGTGCGTGACAGTTGATGGAGGAAAACAGATGTCTGATATAAAAATAGGTTTGGTTGGTCAAATCACAAAAGTTCGTGAGGATGCAGGAATATCAAAGCCAATGTTTCTTCACTGTGTTATCCACCAGCAAGCACTTTGTGGAAAACACGTTGATATGAGCTCTGTTTTAAAACCTGTTATTTCTATCGTTAATTTCATTCGCTGTCATGCACTTAACCATCGCCAGTTTCGGTCTTTTCTCGAGGAATGTTATTCCGAGCTTACTGACCTGACATATTATACTGCAGTTCGATGGCTTAGCTGTGGAAAGGTTGTTTCGCGCTTCTTTCAGCCCAGGAATGAAATTGATATATATATATCTTACTGAGAAAAACCATCACGAACAACTTTTATCAGATACCGAGTGGCTTTGGAAATTAGCATTTTTTGCTGATCTGGTGAACCATATGAACCATTTGAATTTAAAGTCCCAGGGTGAAAATAACTTAGTCTGTGGTTTATTTGCACTTATCAAGGAATTCAGAGCAAAGTTGATACTTCTGGAAAGCCAAGTGAAAAATTGTAACATTGTTCATATGCCATACTGTGCAGAGTTGCATAAAAAGGGTGAAGCTGAATTTCCTTCCTCGTTTGCTAATTTAGTCATTTCAGATTTGAAAGAACAATTTCGGAAGCGATTTGCTGATTTGGATTCCAGTGCTCAGGAAATTAGATTGTTTCAAAATCCGCGTGACTGTGATGCTGCAGATGTCCCAAGTCAAATTCAAATGGAAATTATTGAACTTCAGGAAAATTATCATATTAAAGACAAATACAAGGAAGGAAATTTGATCGAATTTTATAAATTTCTGAACTCTGAGCAATTTCCAAATTTAAATAAATTTGCTTGTAAATTTATCTCCATTTTTGGGACGACATATCTGTGTGAACAAACTTTATCCCAGATGAAGTACATCAAGCCGAAATACAGGGTAAATTTCTCCGATGAACATTTAAAGTCGTTAATTGTGATTAGCTTTTCAAAATTTGAACTTCAATTGAATCAGATTTTAAGAATGCAAAAAGAGTTCCATCATTCACATTAATTGTTTTATTATAATTTGTGATGAAAATATGAGCATTTGCTGCTACTGTCTGTTGTCATTAATATATGATAATTTATTCTCACGTACTTTGTATTTAGTTTATGAAATTGTGTACTTTCAATAAAACTCGTATACCTAGAGTTATTAATTTCTCATTTTATCCGGCCTGTTGAAAGTGCTGAATTACCTAATGTGGCCTGCCTTTCGAAAAGTTTGGAGACCCCTGCTCTATGCAATGCAGTTCGACATTGAAGCGCCAAGTTTAAACGAAATGATTTTAAATGTCGGCCAAGCGCTGATATTTTACGTTTGCGGACATGGGTTCCTATTTCAAATTTATTCTATAGGGAAACCTGAGTATACTCCTGAAGTGTGGCACCAAACTCCTGGGACAGTCTGTATAAGACGTGAAATAGGGACAGAGAACAGGAAGCAGAAGAGAAGACTCTTTTCTGTTTTTGTATTATACCGTGCATTTCTATCTACCTCGCTATCTGTCTTTGTTCCTGTTCCTCCCATATGGAGCACAGGAAATTCGTGAAAGGCTTCGTTTCACTTCAGTTTCTTAATCTTAGTCGGTAGGGCTCCTTGGACGGGGACCAGTCGTCACAAGGCTGCTACCTTACAAAGGATAAAACAAACACAGAATAAACATAGACAAACATCCATATATTGAATGGGATTCGAACCCACGATCCCAGCTTTAGAGCGGGCGAAGACTTTCAATGGATTAATCCGTGAGGCCACTGCGTTCGGTCACCATGCATTTGCTCTATGAAAATGGGTACTAAAAATTTACTAAAAAAATACCAGTGACCGCTAAAAGCATGTTCTCTGAAGTGGTAATGTCATTTCTAGTATAATTTTAAATATATTGTATACTGTCGCGTGTTGCCTCTGTGATGCGACAAATAAACTCACGCAGGTCTCCTGTTTGGCGAATATGTTTATTGGCCAATCTCCTGTACACTAGCGAGTACAATTATTCGCAATTTCAGTATTACAATTAGTTTTTGCAATAGTCGAAGCCAAACCGAAGGCTGACTACTCTTCTAAGATTAACTACAAAACTAAACTGTTCTCGGTAACTTCTGGAACTCAACTGCCTCTGGTCAACTCAAGTCAAGGCAAAGTCACATTGTGACTGACGGTCAATCAGTCAGTAAGTCTTGGTGTCAAGCCCCATTTGGGGCTCATGGCCAGATATTAATTATTATCGTTTGACAGGTACGGTCTTGTTTCTGTGGGGCGCCTTCTCTGACGAGAGGATGGGTCTGTCTTTTGTATATGCTGCGGCCCTTGCCAGAGCAGTCTTACTCGGGTCTGAGTCCCTTGGGACTTGCAACCATATTTTACTGTCTCAGAATTGAGACGTCCCTTTTCGCCGCCTCCTACGACTCGCAGGGTCACTGTGGAGGTATTCGACCCCGCCTCCACACGAGGTGCCTCTGGTCCTTTCAAAGCTGGACTTTTATCACCTAGTCTAGGACGGAATAGAGCGCACCATGTGGAAGCCTTTGGTCTCGGCCGCTGTTATGCAACGAATCTTTTGTTGTCCTTTCATCTCCGGGGAAACGCCTTTGTTGCTTAATGTATTCCTGGGCAACGGCCCACTGGTATTGAGCTTCCATGAAAGTATACCTTCCGGATTCCTGGTACGCCACAATATATTTATATATATTACCCTAAAATGCTCATTTACTTCATTCCTCTTAGGTTCAAATATGTCCTTAAGTAATTACTTTCGAACAATTCTAATGTACGTTTTATGGAAGAATGAATAGGTTGTTGTTAATGTTGTTTGTTGTTGTTCTTATTTTTTTATTATTATTATCTGAAGCTACAGCCCTTTGTGAGCTTTGTCTCCTTGATAACAGGCTCCAAATATCCATGTCTTGCGCCTTCTTCCACCAAGGTGTCACTTTAAAATTTTGAGGTCTTTCAGTACGTCATCCAGCTGCCTTAATTTTGGTCTCGGAATGAATAACTAGCTTACTGATTAACTAATTTAACTCCACGGAAAGAATCCTTCTCAAGAAACTAATAGTTTGGTTAGATAGGAATATTCTCCATTTATGGAACACGAAATTTAGTTACTGTGTTCAAAAGAGAATATTGTCGCGTATCGGGCGTATATCGCGACAAATAAATTCTCGATGCATTCGATGTAGCGAATTTTATTTCACATTCGCTCTTACAATCACCCAAATTACAAATTTACGATTACTGCTATCTGCAGTATCACAATTAGTACACTCCAAATGCCAGAATACAACTGACTGGCTGACTCTACGTCTCGACTCGGCGGCTGTCACAGTACAACTCAGTACAACTGACTGTGAATAGCCTTCGCTGCTCCTTATGTAACCTCGATCGGACAATACGGCCACGTAATAGGCACCCTTGTTGCCTGGCGCTGTGTTGCTATGTAACGCTAGCGGAGGTAACCGCTGTTACTATCGTAACGTCGCCGCTGTTGACTCGCGTTGCCTAGCGACCGCGATATCCCTCGGTGACGTCACCGCGGAGGGGAGTGGCGGGGCGGGAACTCGCCTATTACCGTAAGAACGCGAGCGTTACGTTACCGCCACGTACCGCTGGGGAGGTAGGGGTCAACATGTCACAATATAATTTTTCCTCTCTTGATCCAAATGAATCCTACTCACACCCTCCCACTCATATCATATTTCTTTCATATCTCTCTAACGTTACTTTCACGTCTACGCCTATGTCTTTCAGGCGGTTTCTTACTTTTAGGTTTCCTGGCTAAAATTCTACTTGTTTTTCTCTTCCACATATC